TCTGTGTGAGGGAGAGACCTAGCTCCGTGCAGGGGGAGAGATTGAGCCCTCATAGGGATGGCCCAGCATAGAGCAACTGTAGGCCCATGGCTAAAGAAGGACTGTAATTCGGAACTTTTGTCTTTTTTTTCTACTTTATACTAAGAACTGTAATGTTGAACTTTTAACTTATTTCTTTGCTTTTCTACTTTGTACCTTTGATTTTGTACCTAGGTACCATCTACCTAAGATGGTGCCAGAGAATGGTGACTTTATACACTTTTCACTGTACTCCTGTGATCCTGTACTGGAGTAAACATGACAATAAAAACCTAATTCTAATTTATGGATCTCCTGAAACTTGTCTCAATCTGTAGTCAGGTGATCACACAACAGGCATTTCAGGTCCATATTTGTCCTTTCAAAGCCACTTCAGTCCATGAAACATCTCAGGTATAACAAACAGATGATGAAAGTTAAATAATTGATGGTGTATATTTACAGCGATGGTAGTAAGACCAAGAGTGGAACTTGAAGAGAAACTTGTGATTCTGGGGTGACAATGTTACCAACTGAACCAGGACTGACCAATGGGTGGCCAGAGGAAAAAGTAAGGCTCTCAGCAGCCAGGCAATGACCATCTCCAATAAGAGACAATCTAACCATTGCCCCTTCATATTCAATGGCATTACAATCACTGAATCCCCCACTTCCAACATCCTGGAGGTTACCATTGACCAGAAACTCAACAGGACTCACCATACAAATACAATGGCTACAAGTGAAGCTCAGATGCTAGGAACACTGGAACAAGTAACTCACCTCCCGACTCTCCAAAGCCTGTCCACCATCTACAAGGCACAAGTCAGAAATTCACCAAAGATCCTCAGGCAGCACCTTTCAAACCCACAACCACCTCCATCTAGAAGGACAAGGGCATCAGACACATGGGAACACCACCACCTCCAAGTCACTTACCATCCTGACTTGGAAATATATCGCTGTTCCTTCACTGTCGATGGGTCAAAATCCTGGAATTCCCTCCCTAATGGCATTGTGGGTCAACCCACAGCAGGTGGACTGCAGCAGGTCAAGAAGGCAGCTCACCACCACCTTCTCAAGGGCAACTAGGGATGGGCAAGAAATGCTGGCCAGCCAGCGATGCCCACATTCCACAAAATGAATAGAAAAAAAAGGAATGATCCCAGGAATTAAGGGCTTTTCATATGAGGGCTCTGGGTCTGTAATCAATGGAGTTTAGAGGGATGAGAGGGGATCTGATTGAAACTTACAGATTACTGGGAGACTTGGAATGGAATGGACATGGAGAAGATGTTTTCACTAGTAGGAGAGACTAGGACCCAAGGGCACAGCCTTAGAGTGAAGGGATGAACTTTAGAACTAAGATGGGGAGTAATTTCTTCAGCCAGAGGGTGGTGAATCTGTGGAATTTATTGCCGCAGAAGTCTGTGGGTACTAGGACCGTAAGAAATTACAGAAAGTTGTGTGTACAGCCCAGATCATCATGGAAGCCAACTTCTCATCCATGGACTCCATTTACATTTCTTGTTGCTGCGGAAAGGCTGCCAACATCATCAAAGATGCCTCCCACCCTGCTAATACTCTCTTCCCACCTCTTCCTACAGCTAGAAGATACAGAAGCTTGAACACACGCATCAACAGGTTCAAGAACAGCTTCTTCCCTGCCATTATTAGACTGCTGAGTGGACCTCTCTAATTTCAAATCTAATGTTGACCTTGCTTTGTGCACCTCTTGTGCAGCTGTAACCTTGTATACCTCACTCTGTCTAAACACCCTATGATCTGTATATCCTTGTATGTTATGATCTGCCTGTACTGCTCGCAAAACAAAACTTTTCACTGTAATCAGGTATAATTGACAACAAGAAATCAAATCAAATCCAAGTCATTGAGTATATTTGAGACTGAGATAGATAGGTTCTTGATTAGTCAGGGGATCAAAGGGTTACAGGAAGAAGGCAGGAGAATGGAGTTGAGAAACACATCAGCCATGAATGAATGGTGCAGCAGGCTCGATGGACTGAGTGTGTGATGGAATACTCCCCACTTGCCTGGATGAGTGCAGCCCCAACAACACTGAAGAAACTTGACACCATCCAGCCTGCTTGGTTGGCACTACATCCACAAGCATCCACTCCCTCCGCCACCAAGTAGCAGCAGTATGTACAATCTAGGAGATGCACTGCAGAAATTCACTTAAGATCCTAAGTAGGCACCTTCCAAACCCATGACCACTTCCATCTAGAAGGACAAGGGCAGCAGATACGTGAGAAGGCCACCACTTGCAAATTCCCCTTCAAGCCATCCACCATCCTGACTTGGAAATATATCGCCATTCCTTCAATGTCACTGGGACAAAATCCTGGAATTCCTTCCCTAAGGGCACTGGGGGTTTACCTACAGCACATAGAACGCAGCAGTTCAAGAAGACAGCTCACCACCACCTTCCCAAGGGGGCAACTAAGGACAGGCAATAAATGCTTGCCCAGCCAGTGACACCACATCCCAAAAATGTATATAGAAAAAAGTTTGCGGCTGCTTTTCAGTTTTAACCTGTTGCTGAATGGATGATTTTTACAAGAGCTTAATCTTCCTTACCAGCAGAGGGGAGCAGTGACTGGCTTAATGATTTTTTCCCCCCAATACAGCTTCCCCTTTGCAAGTGCAGGATCTCTGGCAGCTGGTTCTTTGTGTCTCTTCCATGCCTCTCTGGGTTATTCCCCCTGGCGAGGCGGCAGGATCACATTTCACATCCGCGACACTGTTGAGAGGCTGGGCTGGAGGATTCTTGCTCTGCGCTGCCAGCAACACACATCCTCTGCTCGCTATGTAACAAAAATGGCTGAGAGGTAAGAGAAATCTTGCTGTTAAACTCGTGTGCTGCATTTGTGTTGTATTTCTTTAAACAAAAAAAAACTTCTAACCGATTATAAGTTTGGGAGTTTGCAAGCTACCAGCAACCTTTGATTCGTATTTTGTTGTAAGCATTTTTTTTCTCCTTTAGGTTTTATTAAATGAAACCTTTTATGAAAACTTCAGATTAGTTTGACTGTGTTCTGAATGACAAAAAAGGAGTCGGCGTTGTTGGATTGAGGGTAGATTTGGGGCATGATGTGAATATTGTGCTTTTTCCCTCCCTGTAACCTTTGATACGAGTTGAACGAAAAAGTAACCGGCTGGAGTGGTATTTCTGTTTTGCTAATTTTTCTTTTGCGTTTTAAATGAAATTGTTCCGAATGTATCCAGTTGGCCCCGGGAGTTTGCAATTTTCTGCTACATTCTTTTGTCGCCTTGTTAGCAACAGGAGTCTTTCCTGCTCTCAATCCCCAGGTTTTAACCCCCCCCCCATCTGCTCCTTTCCACATTATAGTGTTAAACCTCATGCAGTCTCAGGCGTTGTTCTCCGTCCCTTTGCGATCAGGATGTTTGTCTTTAGCGAACAGAGCTTTCTAATTAAGTTTTTTTTTTAAAAAAAATCACACCCCCCCCCCCCGCCACTTAAGCCTTTTAGGGAGGGTGGAAATGTGCAATGACTTTAAAAAAAATATTAGGAGATTTGTCTATAATCCGACTCCAAACACTGGGAAGCGGGCACTGGCACCTTGTAATCCAATTGACTTTGATCCTGAATTTTATCAATGGTCACTTTGAATGGTCGATCAGTCATTGAGTACACGGATGTGTTTTTTTAATGGGGGGGGGGGGTGCTATTGTTGCTGAAAATGTTTGGATTTGGATTTGATAAAAGTTGCTGAAAGTAATTGCCATTTGGCTATATACGAGCTTTCTACATATGATTCATATGATTAGTCTGATTCATACAGTACCTGGCTGTTAATTATACTACGCACTGTTATTACGGAGGGGTTTAGGTGAACAGATTTTGTATTTGCACAAACCTGCTGTAACCTGCCCCCAGTGTGACATTGTAAATGTATTTTTCAGTCTGGTAAAGGCCAGGAACATCTCCAGTTTCAACACCCGTTCTATGCTGAATTGGTTGTTTTCAAGACAGGGTTTATGATCAGACACACAATGCCATCAGCTGCTCCTGGCATAGAGAGAGAGCGAGTCTTCCTGGGCACCTGCTCCTGAATACCATGGAATCATTCTTGCCCGAAAGCCTGTGTGTGTGTGTGTGTGTACACTCGGAATGTGGATGGGATCTGACTGATCGGTGAGATAGTTGGATAGCTTGGCAATGCTTCTTCTCTTGGTAATTTCTTGTCAACCTGTTCAAAGTTTTTTTTAATGCACCTCTGGAGCAGGTGGGACTTGAGCCTGGGGGGTCTTCTGGCTTGGAGGTAGGGACGCTACCCCTGTGCTATAAGAGCCCCATGGTTCATGCCGCAGCCGGCACCGAGAGAATGGCTGGCTAAGGTAAACGCTTGGAAGGACTGGGGGAGGTCAGCAGATGCTCATGTGGCTCAGAACCCTTGTGGGGGTGTGCGTGTGTGTGGGAGGAATGGGACTGTTATGGAAGAAGAATTTTACCTGAATGTCCAAATACTACTTGTACAGAAGATAATGTGTTCACAAGCTGGAAGAAGGGGCATTTTTCTCAAGGTGACCCATCGGTGTTACAAATAATAGGTGTCTGGTGTTCAGCTGTGGTGACAGTGGCTGATGGCAGTAATTTACTGATGCAATGGCTCTCTGGAAGTGCCCACACTGGGAAATTCTGTAATCTGTCTGACGTGGGGCGATTATGGTCACCTTTCTCATTTCTCTTCCATTGACAGGAGAGGTTTCATTATCTCACGGGATTTCCCTGTGTTACTGATGGCAAGAATGTTCTGGATCCCAAAGGGAAGCACATGGATGGCAACGCATCATTGAAACTTCTGAAAGTTGGGAATGTCTGGAAAAAGTAGTCAGGATTATGGTGATTTGCAGAGAAACGCATTCTGGTTGATGGTTATGGGAGTGGAAGAGGAAATTCAGGCAAAACAAAAATGCTTTGTCTGATTTGACATGAGGAATATCTCAAAACCTCTACCTCCCTCTTTCCATTGTCCTCTGCCTGGGGGGGCGTGAAGGGGAACAAACTGGGTGTGGATTGACATCATCTCAGTCAGATATCATTGTAGGGGCCTGAATGTGTTGGCAAACACTGAAAGGAAGGGCAGTCATTTCTTTGTGCGTGTGTTTATTTTGTTTCAGTGTCACATGTGGACATGTCTCATCTTGATTGCGACATTTGAAGTTGGAATGTGAATCGAGAATTCTCTTCCTGTGACTTATTTTGTCAATATTTGTGAACACAACTGGTTGAGTTTGTGCTTGTCCTTAAATTGTTGTTAACTCTTCATTGGGATCTTCTCTTTTGCCCCCCCCCCCCCTATATTTCTGCCCCTACCCTACAGGCACTCATTCTTGCCCTGCTGCCACTATGGGACTGGTGATTCATTTCATCTACGTAGCTACCTAATCTGAAATATATCATGAGTGACTGAATGAAGGGAAAGCCTAGATTCGAAACTTCCATTTTCTGATTGCTGCTTAGAGCATTGGAGGCCATTGGGTCCATCGTTCTTCAGGCATGCCAAATAGCTTGTCTTCGGTGCAGTAACAGACAATGTTGTATTTATTCTGATTGGTGCGAGAAGAAGATCTCAATATTTTGCCACGTTCCTGAATATCGGGAACCCTGTTGCCATGGAATTGGCACATTCTTCTCGAGTTCTCTGCCTGAAGGCCAAACTCTCAATGGCGTGATCTGCACCCACAGCAGAGGCAAGGAAGCAGCTATCAAATCCACTTCAGTCAGAACAGCAATTGAACCCAATGCTGTTAGAACCAGTCTGATTCACACTGGCCACCTGGCCACTGAGCTTTCTGTGTCCCCCTCGCTCGCTCTCACACACACAAACACAGAGTTGCTGTGGCAGCATACAATGTTCCATATCTGTTGCAGCTTGGAGCTGTGGACTGTGAATGGTCGAGGCTCCGATTTCTTGTCCTGACATGGCTGACGAGGAATTTCTCTCACTGTTCCTGTCAGTCACCAGCATACGTTGGAAGGCTTTGCAGGTTGATACTCCACCTGTTTGGCTGCGTTCCGAATGCATCTCCATTGGCCGTCAACTCTGGGAGTGGGACTGGCAGCTGAAGCTCCTGGCTCAGAGGCAGGGACCCTACACACCCTATCACAACAGCTCTGTCATAGTCATGATACCATGAAAGGAGGGCATTTGGTCCATTCCAGACTTGATGGTGCCATTTACACTGATAGTGTACACAGCAGCAAACAGATTGGTTCGATCCTTTACAAAATCAATATGATATCAAATTGACTTCACAATGTTCTGAAAAATCCCTTATTCTTCTAGAAGCACTACAGTATGGAAGCAAGCCATTTGGTCCATTAGAGTCCACACTGACCCTCCAAATAGCATCCCACCCAGATCCAAACCCCTACCCTAAATTTCTGAAGAAGGGTCTAGGCCTGAAACGTCTGCTTCCTGCTCCTCTGATGCTGCTTGGCCAGCTGTGTTCATCCAGCTCTACACCTTGTTATCCCTACCCTAAAGCCCCACATTTCCAATGACTAACCCACCAACCTGCACATGCCTAGACACTCTGGGCAATTTAGCGTAGCCAATTCGCCTAGCCTGCACATCTTTGGACTGTGGGAGTATATCGGAGCACCAGAGGAAACCCACACAGACACGGGGAGAATGTGCCGACTCCACATAAACAGTCGCCCGAGGGTGGAATTGAACCCGGGTCCCCGGCACTGTGAGGTAGCAGTGCTAACCACTGAGCCACCATGCTGCCTTATGGTAGGGAGGGAGTCTTGTATGATACCCATAGCCCCCGCTGTGGAGCCAGGTTGAGTGACAGGAAATGTTTTTTGACAGTGGGTTATATTTGCAATGCACTGCCTGAAAAGCTGGTAGAAGCAGACTCAATAGTAACTTTCAAAATAGCGATAGGGACTTGAAGTGGGGAAAAAACAAATATGGGAAGAAGAGGGAAGAGCAGGAATGGGACTGATCGATGTCTCTTTGAGAGAAGCAACAAAATGTCAGTCAAGTGGCCTCCTTATCATTCTGTTATTCTTGTATTCGTTTTGGCTCAAAACTCTAACCCAGAGCTGCACTATCGTGCGGGAATTGAGAGGTTTTGGTCCATGTCTCTCATGCTGACGTTTCAGGCCCTTTCTTAGAGAATGCTGCTCTGTCGGAGGTGCACTTCTTATGAGCCATTTCACTGAAAACCCATCTCCCCTCAAGATCATGCACAAATAAACCAGTAGAACTATTTTGATGAAAAGTTAGAGACTTCTGCTCAGCCTGTGTTTAGCCTTGTGCCAACTTGACTGAAATATGTGCAACATCACATTTAACTGGCTGCAGACCTCTGCTGTTTGTCGGATGGGCTCCTTTTCTTCACTACAGGACAGGAGATACCCTTGAAAGATACTTGGTGTCTTTCCATCTCTGAAAGCTGACGGGCGGGCAGCAGAGTGTTTAAGATGGTGCGGGATGGCGACTTCATATGGCACCACGGCTGACGGCGGAAGGGGACACTCTGTCAAGGCAGGCTGTGCCACAAGTGCCAAGGTGAATCAACGAAGTGTTGGTATGGGTCATTGTTTTTGGTGCTGCCAAGTCTTATACCACTGGGTGCCGTGGTGTTGTCATTTTGCTGTGTCATCAGCTGGTGAGTGCCGGTTGTGAGAATCGATGTTTAGGGCCTTTGCCCAGGTGCACAAACATGCCTGTTGAGCTGGTGCGTTGGATGTTCCATTGGTTGTCTGGAAAACCCTTGGGCACGTGACCATCTTTCATCCTGAAGATATGCCCAAGCCAGTGAAGTCTCCTCAGTTTAAAGGCATGACATT